TTGTATAACCTTGTTCTAGTGATATACTGGTTTTATATTACAGTTAGTTAACAGGTAATTGTATAACTTTGTTGTAGCGATATACTGGTTTTATATTACAGTTAGTTAACAGGTAATTGTATAACTTTGTTCTAGTGATATACTGGTTTTATATTACAGTTAGTTGTATAACCTTGTTGTGGTTGTATATTACAGTTAACAGGTAGTTTGATATAATGTGATGACAAGTTTTGTTGTTTTTCTTATTCTTAGATTGCACTGGATGTGGTACAGGGTATTAGATTTCTTCATAGTCAAGGTCTTGTTCATAGAGATATCAAACTGAAGAATGTGTTGGTAAGCTGTATTCCTAAATAATTAAACATTTAGCTTAATAAAACAACTTGCACAATATTCAGCTGATATATGTTAATAATTTGGGAGCTAAGCCTAGTTCTCTGATAATTAATGTTGACCTGAAATACTGTAACTTAAGTAGTTAAGTTAGAAAACTCATCTCCTCTGTATAAACTAATGGAAGTGTTATATTTTAAGAAAGCTCAGTTTATTATTAAATATGATTTTATGGAAATTAAAACAGATTTTTTGTCAGATGATTTATGAGTTTGTTGAGTTTTCTTTAATGTTTTTTGAACCTTCCTGTTTGTAAAACTCAGTCTGGTGAATTTTAGTTTATTATTTTAAACTTTGAGGGTATATTGTTTGTAGTGGTTAACCCTAGAATTACCATTGATGGTTCAAATTGACCACGATATTTTTAACCCTTTTTCTTTGACTGACTCTTTAATTCTCTCGAATCGGCTACGTTCATGACCCCAAATTGATCTTTATAGTTTCCATACTGTAATATCTAACATCTTCACAAAATTTCACAAGCTTTCAGTAATCATTAAGAGTCATTTTTAGACAAAAATATCAGAAATTTTGAATGAAGTATTTTCACTAAAGATTTCTCCATGAATATATGGAGTAAAAGTTTTGACTGCTTCAAGTGCAAACTGATCTTCATGTTAAGATTAAAAATACTTTTCTTCATCTGAAAAATCTCAAATTTCATTTGTGTAGTCTCAAAATGCCTAAATATATTACACACTATTGTTTTTCAGTAAAATTTTATATTTTATCAGTTTTATATTTTCTCTACCCTAACTGTATATGAGTTTGGTCAATTTGACCAACCTTGTAACCACCATACAAAAATTTGAAATAAATCTTAATTACCCTTTTTCTTTCTAGAATGATTTCAAATTGTAACATAGCACTACATTTGTTTATCCTAAATAGCTTTAAACTTGTAACAGTATACATTCATTTACATTTAAATTTTATTGTTTTATTGCCCTTTTAACTATGTCTAACTAATCTTTGCACCATATAAGTTGTAAATCATTTGGCAAACGTGTAGCTCACGTTTCTCTATCAAATTACGTAATGCACGAGCTGCTTACAAATGGACCTCATGAAAATTTTTCTTCTTATTATTATTATTTATTTTTTCTAATCTGACATTTTCTAATCTAAAAAGTTTCTAATTTTTAAAGTTAGTTACTTTTATAATAATAAATATACATGAAAAACAAGAAACAAAGTACTTACAAGGGTCTTCTATTTTTTGCTGGTGACTGTTCATGACACTTAACCCTACTGTTTTATATTAATGATACTATTGAGCTAAATAATTAGCTAAATATTTATTAAGAGGTTCTAGAGGTTTTGCAAATGAAATTTGAAAACTGTAAGATAAAGAATTTTTATACTTAACATGAAAATCACATTCCACTTGAACTAGTCATAGTTTAGGTGCAAATAAAACTTAACATGAAAATCACATTCCACTTGAACTAGTCATAGTTTGGGTGCAAATAAAACTTAACATGAAAATCACATTCTACTTGAACTATTCATAGTTTGGGTGCAAATAAAACTTAACATGAAAATCACATTCCACTTGAACTAGTCATAGTTTGGGTGCAAATAAAACTTAACATGAAAATCACATTCCACTTGAACTAGTCATAGTTTGAGTGCAAATAAACAACTCTTTAGTAGAAAAACTAAATATTTTTCTGAAACTAAGTGTCTTTGAAACTTGAGAGGAACTTTTCTAAACAATTTCATCCACTAGTTTTATTTTTGGAATGAAATTTGAGAGAGTGTTATGTTATATAAATAGGTTGAGGGGAAATGGTTAAACATATCTTTTTCTAAACAATTTCATCCACTAGTTTTATTTTTGGAATGAAATTTGAGAGAGTGTTATGTTATATAAATAGGTTGAGGGGAAAGGGTTAAACATATCTTTTTCTAAACAAATTATGAACAAAATTGTTTGTAGTTGTTAACCCTAGAATTGCTAATGAGGGTCCACATAGAATGGCCCGGCATGGCCAGGTGGTTAGGGCGCTCGACTTGCAATCTGAGGGTTGCAGGGGCGATTCCCCGTCACACCAAAACATGCTCGCCCTTGCAGCTGTAGCGGTGTTATAATGTGACGGTCAATCCCACTATTCATTGGTAAAAGAGTAGCCCAAGAGTTGGCAGTGGGTGGTGAT